TTTTTATATACTACGTGAGATTTCAGTGACACACAGAAAGGTAACGGCAATATAACCATATTAGTAATCAATAGTTTAATCAAATGTAGGTGAGTTAACGACAGAAATATACCGATGAAAATTGCTAATCTAAGCGTCGTATACACGTGTCACTGCTTGAGTTGTACTGTTTTTATTTTACTGGTTTGTGCATATTTGAAAGCACAAATTCACCTACATAACGTTTGTGGAGAGAGAAAAAAAAATCATTAGAATTTTAGGGATAATCGTTTCAATTGTTAAATGTGATACGTTGAACTCCTTTACGAAAATTACCTTGCATTACAACTTTTATACTACGTATACAATGATTTAAATGTAAAACCAAACAAGTCTTCTTTGTTTGTGTTGGTTTAAAATATATGTAGAATTGTCATTAATGTGCAGATTTCGATGTTTTGTCTTAGAAAACCCCCCAAATACATTTAAAACATGTTACAATGAGAAAAGTAGTAAATCTTTGATATGTACTGTAAGAATAATATTCTATTTTTGTAGACAAAAAAAGAGCGTCAGGTTCACCAGTTCCACTTTACGACATGGCCGGACCACGGAACTCCAGACACCCTTGAACTCGTCCTATTCCACCGACGTGTGACCTCATATAGGACACATCTTACTGGGCAGATGGTTGTACACTGCAGGTATTGCTATTACAACAGACGACGGTCACCTTTATGACTTCCATAGACGGTATACGCAGTGATATGATATTTTTTTTAAACAAAAGACAGCTTTCGTACTCACTCGTAAGTGTGTTACTTTGTGAAAGCTTAACAACAAGGCAAACAAAATTAATAATAATAGAAGATTAAGTCCATAATTTCTCTCCATAGTTGTATATTTCATGGGGGTTGGGGAGGGTTTGGGGTATTTTAGAACAAATCAGGTCGGTTTGATAATATATAGTATTAGATAATAGATGGTGTCTCATCCTCAATTTTATGGATAAATATGTTCGTCTTAGTCAATTAAGGTTTGTTCAGTAAAATTTGAAATTCTTTATATAATAATTCTTACGATTTTCCTCACGCTTCCTGCTGAAATTGTGCTATCAGTTTTGTCAATATCCATTTGCTTTTAATACTTTAGTCAAAATTGTATAAAGTTGTGTCTTGTCAAATATCGTTACGATTGTCTTTTATTTTCACCGATAATATTTTTCAGTGTGGTCAGATTAGTACCCTTTTTCAAACACAAACACATATGGTTTGTACCTTGTTAAAAAACTAGAAAAATATTGAACACAAAAAAGCAAGATAGATTAAAATGGCAAGATGAGTCGAACAAGATTGACCGCCGCTGGTTTTTTAGATTTCCGATTCTTAATACATAAATGAGTAGTAAATCGTTTTGCTAAAATGTTTACGTTTCATGTGGGACAGTATGGGGCCAAACTGGATTGCCACATTATTTAGGTTTAGAAAGCTACCGTTGTTAGGCAATACCAAAGCCTATCAGAAAATTGATTTCACATCAAATATTTAGTTTCGTATCTGATTGCATCTCCAAATTCTGACTGACAATTAGTGTGTTTAACCAAAAGCGAAGATATTTAACATATTTTGTAACAAAATATCCCTGACTACCAGTATTTTGTTTCTTTATCTCAGCGCTGGACTCGGGAGGACGGGAACCTTCATAGGTCTAGATGCTCTTTCAAAGGAGGAAAAGAAATCTGGACAAGTGGATATTTCGAGTTACATAAGAAAAATGCGAGAGGACCGAATGAATATGGTTCAAACTCATGTAAGAGAATAACGGTTGACAGGTAGTTTTCTAGTAAAATAAAAAAGAAACTATAGCAGGAACTCCTTTAGTAAAAACAAAATTCAAAAGTAAGCATTGATTTACATAGTTATTTCTTACATATACAATGTACGTTCCCAAACGGTTGGTTATAATGCTTATAAAACCTGAGTTAGTGGTTTTTTTCAAATTGTGCAATGAACCAAAACACATGTTTAAAAAAACATTATGCTTGTCGTCGATTGACGTCATGAATAAAATATTGACCAACGAAATCACGTCAAGAGTGTTACACATTGGTGGGAAACAACAATTGTTTACCATTTCCTAGCAGGTCTATTGTGTAGTAGAGAAATAAAAGTAAACGGTATACAATTTGTTACCATTCCTGTACTAATATGACACTCCTGTTTATTGACTTTCCAGGAACAGTATATCGCTCTTCACGAATTGCTTGTCCAGAAACACGATCTACAGGATACTCTGATTTCCGATACAGACTTTCCTGTAACTTTGAGAAAAATGCTTCCGCCCGGAAAACCAACAAACCAAACAAAGCTACGAAAAGAATTTGAAGTAAGTGCTTTTCAAGATTCGGAAAATAAAATAGTCTTTATATATAAATGATCAATGAGATTGCAATAAATTTTTCTATCTTTTTTCAAGAATCTTCAGACTCTCATTCCCAAATATGATTCGAGTTGCTATAGAGCAGGAATGATGAAAGAAAACAAGAGCAAAAACAGAACAATGTCTATTAAAGCAGGTATGTATAGTTTAATATCACAATAGTACTACACCTTATGTGAGGGTTTTCAAAAAATATGTGCACTTTAAAATAAAATTGTATGAATGTCAGCAAAGCATTTGAATAGAAACAGGTATGAAAACTGTTTTATTTGTAATATATTATTTTTATATCTTTTATTATAATACAAATTTACACATTGCGTTCACTTTTTATTGTTTAGTTGACATGTATCGAGCTTACCTGCGGTCACAGGTGGGCGGCAGGAATGACTACATCAATGCTGTTATGCTACAGGTAAGCCATTGATTGCAGATTTATATTTTTTCACTTACTTGCTACGACATTTTCCGCATTTTGTTATGGTAATGCGCTCAATAATTATTCGTTCAATATTTTTTTAGTCACACAGGTCGAAATCAGGGTACCTTATGACACAGTTTCCGTTAGAGGGCACAGTTGATGACTTGTGGACGATGGTGATTGACTACAACTGTGAGAACATCGTTGTCCTAGGTACCCCTACAGAGGTGAGAAGAACATTTCAACGGTTTTAGTTATACATGTCTTTGGCAGAATAGGTGGCCACATGTTTCCAATCAGGATCTTACAGTCTATACCCTGCACCGAAAGGTACTTAAGATCTGAACACAAAACATGAATCCTACTACCCAACCCAAGACCTGTATAACGAACTCTGATACTCCAAAAAACTCATATAACGTTTAATCTTTATGATATAACGATACCGATTATTTCTTATTGCAGACATACATAGGGATTTTCAGTGTTTCATATTGTCTTTTGAAAATGCATATATATTGCATTAATAGTTATGTTCCAGATGCAGTGAAAACAAAACAAAATGTGAAACATTTCAGGATTTGTTTTCATATACATGTAGTAAATATTTATTTGTAATTTATTTTAATTAATTTTGTCTTTCTACAGCACTGGCTTCGAGAAGAGAGCGAGGCAAATGAAGCCCATGGGATATATGTTAGGAAGCAAAACGCATTAGCGGTCATTCCCGACGTTGATATTGCTGACTATAACATAACAAGCAAGGTACAGTTGTGTGACCGCCCAACGTACCAAAAATACTGTTCGCACACCGTGCATACATCGTTCACACACCGTCCGCACATCGTCCACACATGGTGCGCACAACTGTGCCATTTAACAATCGTTCGCCCCGTTGTGCGCTTCTCTCCCCACAACTGTGCGATTCGGTAAAATTTGTTGATCAATATTACGGAATGAAAAAAATACGGAAGGTTCGTATGCAATAATGTACACTGTATATATTATTGTAATTTCTCATCACAATAATTAAGATTATGTACAATTTTACAATGCGTGTTACACAGTGTTATAGTGACCGTTAGACTGTCAAGAATGGGTTTAGCTCCTAGGGAACAGAACAGGTAAATAACAATTTGATGAGTGACCGGAGTTTTACCTGGCCTGTGCCTGACACATAGAGCTGCTATGTGATACCGTATGACCGCTATGAAAACATAACTGGTCGTTTTGTTATTTGCATTCGTTTTGGTCTATGTAGCTCCCCTTCACTTGGCTTTTACACCTTGGCGAGTTACGTAAGTGCCCCTGGCGGGGATAACTACGGTCCAGGTACAGGTACAAAGTGGCTATGTTTACCTGTATTGCCGAGACTGTGTTGTAATTTTACATGTGTCGATTTAGGTTGTTTAAAAATCACCGAAAACACCATTTCTAAATTTAAGAAAGTATAGACAGAAAGATAAACTTATTTATGTAGCTAGAATATATAAACATACTAAATATTAAAGTGTATGTGTTTAAACACATGCACGAAACCCTATTTATTGTTGAGGCATTCCTCAATTTACACCAACCACGATTGTTATCGCACAACGTTCGTCCATCGTCCGCACAAATGTGTGCAAACAATGATCGTTCATTTTTTGTATCGTTCGCACTTCGTGCACACATCGTTCACACATCGTGCACACATCGTGCTCACACCGCACATCGTGTAACGTTGTGCGATACCATAACTGTATATATGGGCATTTTTTATAATGCAATCTAACATTTCCAGTCAAGAGAAAACATGTTTAGATAACAAGATGAGCATAGCGAACATGTATTGTGATGTTTACCCTGCAGTTTTTTTCAAGAGATGATCTCACATTATGCGTGACGGATAAAAAACGTGAAAATGACACCGATCACGGCGTTGTTAGCAACACTGTCTTTTTGTATTGTACTTCAATACATTATAGCTATACATTTATATAAAACAAAAGGTTTATTTTTTTGAAGAAGGGGTACATTAATATATAAGCTATGGTGTTCAATCACTACTGTTATATTTCTTCGAGTTACAGAGATCCAAAACTGACATGACAATACGGATCTTCACTATGAAGGAGTGGTCATCGGATTCTTTGCTGCCCCCCTCCAACTCGTCCCTTCTCCTTCTGCTGGAGCAACTGGACAGTCGTCGACGGTCAGACAACACAAGACCCGTGGTCGTCATGTGTCAGTAAGTTTACCCTCTGATAAATAAAAATAATGAGGCGATCAATATTTATAAAAGCAGTGTTTTTGTGTATTGAAAGTCTTTCCACTTGTATGTCGTTCTACAGTATATCAACCGATGAACTTGAAATGTCAGTTATAAATACAACATGATACCCAGCTGTGTAGAGGCGATTGTATTTCTGCTGTGATATTTTTTATAGTGTTTAGCTCCCTTTACCGGCTATATTCCTCCAACTGTCTATTTCTGCACTGGTTGTATCTGTGTGTATAAAGTAACTTTAAATGCCTAGTACACGTTAACACTCCCTTCGTTCGGAAACGGATATGTTTTTGCTACGAATATCAAGAAATATCACTTAATTTCTTTTAAATCATCATAAGAAATACAAAGAAATCAAGCACATATTAAAAAGTATGTTTGTACATGCAGAATGCCTAAGAAGTAGATATTTTTCTGCATCATATGATCATTTCGTAAATTTAGGCCTCATCTCATCAGTGGCAATGATGAATGAAATTTGTATATCCTAATTGTTCCGAAACATATGTAAAATACAATGAAATGGGATCTGTGTCTATGAACATCTTACAATTTGATCACTATCAGCTACAACAGATAAGTTGTCATTAAACGAGTGCTTCATGTAATCTCTGCCAGAATATATTCCAACTACAAGGCTATGACCAACTTCGCGGACTTTAGAGTCAACCATTGAATAACTTAAATATAACATGATTTTGAATTGCTCTCTAAGAAGAGGCTAAGGAGCTCTTTTAGTTTAGTCGTTTATAGTAGTCGAAATTGTATACACATGGCCGTTTTACTTACTTAGGGACGGATGCACACAGAGTGGACTATTCTGTTGTATATCAAATGCCCGAGATCAAATGAAGATGGATAATGAAGTGGACATATTTCAAACGTCTAGACAAATACAAGTCCGACGGCCACCAGCTCTCAGACATATTGTAAGTATTCTGATGATTGGGTTGATGGATTAGCATCTAATCAAACGAAATAGCATAGGTGCAAGGACATTTTATAGAATAAATATTCTCAGCCGTAGTAACACATGCAGACAGATATTTTAATGTTCATGAGGGTCGAGGATCAGTGTAGCACAACATTAGACCCTTTTTGGTCCCGAAGTCTGTTTAGTTGAATCAATATAATCATAATTGGTAAACATGCATATAATTGCATGTATAGTTTGTGAATAAGCTACGAATAACTTAGGCTGTTTCATGCTCTAAATGTCTTCTACGTTAACAACCTCTTTAATTAAATCTATAATTAATTATGACTAATTATCATACAAATTCCATGATTTTTTCATGATTTTCCATGATCAAATCTTTTCGTTTTATCAATTACTTACTGTCAATTGCATCGTTTTCTATATGAGTGTCTTTCGTCTTGTTATAAAATAAATAAAAAAGAGTTTTTCAACAATACATAGGGTGCGACTTACTTTTTTTCAAAACAACAGACAAAGTTAGTTTGTAAATTATTATACAAATGCGAGTCAGTGCTGATGAGAATGTCTTGCATATATTTTAGGAGCAGTACCAGTACTGTTACAACTTCATTGGGCAGTATCTGGACTCAACCAACATCTACATCAACTAAAGGCGTGTGAAATGGGAATCCTTGCGTCTTTTGAAGGCTGACAGTTAACTATCTGGATTGAGATGAAGGTGGTTTCCAAGTTTCCATAGTTACCTTCATGAAACTTCATTCGATCGTTTTAGTGGAAGTGAACTTCCGTATAATAACAGGATGTGATTGCCGATTGAAAGACCAGGAATGTTTGAAGACGGAAAGAACAGATTCAAATGTTTTCCGGTATTTGGAAAATCTTCCTCGTAACGCATGTGTTTTGTGAGACGATAACCTACGACACCAAAGCGCAATGCATTGCATCACAGAGACGTACTAGTTGTTACCAATTAGACTATATTATAGGAATGATTACATATGTACACTTATATCTTAAATAACTCTACGTAAGGAGTAAAAGTATAATTATAAAACCAACTGAATAGATAGCAGATATTTTTTCAGTGTCTTTGGTTTTATGCGTATTGAAAGCAAAATTCATATATTCCATATTCTAAGAGTGAAAATGCATTTAACCAATTATATCAGTTTTTTTACTCTGCAAAGCATTTATCTATTCAAATATTATTTGTGATACTGTTGAACAGTTTAAGCCTTACTGTTTTAACTAAAATGTGTATTGTTAAGTGTTTGTGTGTGTCTTATGTCCAATTAACAACTTTGATCAATTAAGGACTATCCAGGGTTTGTAAGTGGAGGAGAACCAGCGTGCCTGAAGAATAAAAACCAACCTGCAGCAAAAAAGGACCTTGCCACTGCCCAATGTAGGCCTTCAGCCAACGACCCCCAGTGGTGAATGGCAAGTGATCGTAGACGGTCTAACGCCTTTATCACTCAACCACCGTGGCTCCTTGCTAAATGTACATATAATTTCATGTATGTTGATATCTTAATTGTTTAATACATCAAACGCTGGTTTCATTGCTATTAACACTACATTCATTTGATAGTTGATTTTGGATGCTATAGTTTAACCTTTGTGTTCTAAAAGGAAGGATTAATAATGACGGCAAATATTTATGTTTAAAAAAGTTGTGTTCCGGTAGCAGACATATTTTGAAAACTAAATGTAAATTGAGGTTCTCCTATTTATAACGATGTAAATAATTTCTTCTTTTACATGTTGTTTGAAATTTTCACTTAAAAACTTTCTACCCCGGACACGATTTGAAATCCACGTCTTACTAAGTCAATGTTGTTTATTAACTAATACACATACAGTTGTATTGTGTTTTCTCGTAATTACCAGTGTCAAGTTTTGATCATTGACCACAATCGGAGAGGAAGCATATGACAAGCGCAGCACATTTTTTAGCACCACAACATTTGTACTACACGATTTGTTAAAGAATATTAGCTGATACGAATTTCAGAGATGAATGGCGTTTTTCCATTTCTGGGCGAGTATGTCCAGTAAATATTGCATAAAACACTGCTTATGTGGTTCAGTTTCTTAAGCACTAGAGAGCAATCTGTGTGGCAGTCTCAGTAATCAATGTTTTTAGACGATTACTCCGTGTTTTATGATAATTATTAAGGAATGTTGTTGTTTACATTTGTTACGTTTAGTTTGTATAAATTATATTTATTTTTTATTTTTCAGCTCACCTGCCCGAAGGGCAAGTGAGCTAATGCCGTACCGCGGCGTCCGTCGTACATAATCCGTCGTCCGTCCGTCGTCCGGCGTCAACTTTTCCATTTAAAAGCCTGGAAAGACTGATTGGATTTTAACTAAATTTGATATGAAGCATCCTTGGGACCAGGGAATCAATGGATTTATGAAATAAGGGTGTGGCCCCCTAGGGTGTTTAGCTAGCGGCTAAAAGGGGGGAAATTTAGAAAAAAAATAAAAAATCTTCTTCTCCATTCCAGAAATGCTAAAACCAAATACTACTCATAGTTGTAAAGGCCTTCGATGGTTTATAAAAAGTGTGATTNACCCCGTTTGTTCCTGGGGAGGAGGTGAAGTTTAGTATAGCTTATATAGGAAAAATAAACACAATAGGTCATAAACCATTGTTTTGAACGGAAGTTGTTCATATTTGACAGAAATACTTGTTAGGGGGAGGGGGTTTGTACGTATTTTTTTATGAGCCTGACCCCTAGGGGGCTGAGTAAGGGTCCGAAAAGTGGGGGGGGGGATTTCAAAAATCCTGTTCTTTAGTTATAAAATTGCTAGGATCAAATACTGCCCATAGCTGTAAAGGCATTTGGGTAGTTTATACAATTTGTGATTTTCATGTGTCCTAGGGCCCCCGTTTGCCCCTGAGGAGGGGGTAAAATTTAGTTTAGTTTATATAGGAAATAGACATGACAGGCCATATCTTCATTGTTTTGAAAATAATTTGTTCATATTTAAGAGAAATACTTATTAGGGTAGGAGGGTCTGCTGGTATAAATCGTGTGAGCCTGGCCCCCTAGGGGGCTGAGTTAGGGGCCACAGAGGGGGGGGGGATTTAGGGAAATTTCAAAATTCTTCTTCTCCAGTTCTAGAAATGCTAGAATCAAATACTACTCATAGCTGCAAAGGCCTTTGGGTGGTTTATAAAATTTGTGATTTCCATGTCTCTCATGGCCCCCGTTTGCCCCTGAGGAGGGAGTAGAATTTAGTATAGTCTATATATGAAATAGACATAATAGGCCATATCGTCCAATGTGTTGAAAGGAATTTGCTCATATTCGATAGAAATACTTGTTAGGGGAGGAAGGTCTGCTGGTATAATTTTGGTGACCCTGAACCCCTAGGGGGCTGGGTTTGGGGTTTAAAAAGGAGGCGAATTTCAAAAAAAAATCTTCTGCAGTTCTAGAAATGCTAGTATCAAATACTACTCATAGTTGTAAAGGCCTTCGAGTGGTTTATATACTTTGTGATTTTCATGTGCCCCAGGTCCCTCGTTTGCCTTTGGGGAGGGGGGAAGTTTGGTATTGTTTATATAGACAATTCGACAAATGAATAGCCATCACATACTTTTGATCTCCAACCCAACTAATGTGCTAGTAATAGTAACAACCTTAATTCTTCATGAATTATAAAGTCTCCATAGTAACGCTTCCAAATTCTTACCCTGCATGTCTGAAGTGGTTACAAATTGGCATTATAGAGCAAATGTAAATATTGTGCCATGATTGCTTAAATAACCAGATGAGCGATACAGGCCCCCTAGGCCTCTTGTTTTTACATATGCCTTTGTTTTGTTTGCTGTTGTTTTAGTTTGTTTTTTGTTTTATTCTATTTTTCTTTTTTATAAACAACACATTTACACACAAAGCAACAAGCATAATTACATTGATTACAATTCCCTTCACAACGGACACCTTTTACAAGAGACTAATTATATACTGTACACACATACACACACACACACAGGGGGGTAAGTGGGGGGATTGCAAACCTTAGACATCTGGGGTTTTTCTTTATAGGATAATGATAAGTGTTTATGTTATTTTATAAGAGGAGCCATTTTTGCAATTTATTTTGTAAGTCTATATTATTTTTGCAGTTTTATGCTTATTTATCAAGAACTTATGAGATTTAAGTTCAAAGAGTATGTGATTCTTTAAACTCTTTATATTAAGTTCCATTTTTAGACATTTCTTTTTTAAAATGTATTGTTTAATCAACAATAGGATATGACTGTCCACTATCAAATCAGCATCCTTAGAACTGAATTGTCCAAATATAAATTCCTGTATGTCAAAATTCAAATCAATATTACTGGTCGTAAGCAATTGTTTCAGTTCTATCAAAATTTTACATACTTTACCACAATCCCAAAATAGATAAATCTTTTTCCATAATTTGTCCTAAAGGTTACAACTGTAAACCATTTCCTTTGTGACGTAGGTTTTGTATCATTTTGGCATAAAACAGCATACATATCCTGTGCCCCTTTAGTCTTCCTTAATATAAAATTAAGATGTAAAGGTATATTAGGTAAACAAATACTCTTTTCTAAAACAAATATTTCTTGTTTACTATTTATAAACTGTTTTATAGCACTAATTCTACTGTGAAAAGTTAAAGGCATTCGGCCTTATATTATATCTAAGTTAAAATTCTACAAAATAATAAAAAAACGTCTTCTATAATAACATTATATATAAAAAGCACTCCTTTCCTATACCACTCTTTACAGAAAACAGGCTTATTGTTTATTTGACTATTGTGATTATACCACAGAGTGTTTTCTACTGGACGACACTATTGTTTGGTACCATGCTTCTAGAACGTTTTTCCAAAATGTATTATTACATTTTTCACATATAATTTTCAATTTATGAATTCTTCCACAATTAGCTAAAGAGAACTTATCAATGTAGTTTTCAGTAATGAAAGTCAAACTAGCATCTTCTTTATAGATCCTCCGTGCCCACGTTGCTTTAAGTGCTGTTATGAAAGACTTTAAATAAATCATCTTCAAACCATCCTGTTCGTATGACTTAATTATAACATCACATTTAACTATATCAGTATTTCCGCACCACAAAAAATTGTATAAGATGTTATTTATTTGTTTTATATAAGAGTCATGTGGGTTTGGAAGAGCTATGCAAAGATGATTAAATTGTGAAATTAGCAATGTTTTGATAATGGTTATCTTACCTATTGGAGTGAGATTTCTTCTATTCCACGAACTTATGAGCGATTTTAGTTTAACAAGTTTCTTATCAAAGTTTAATTTACTCTATGTAAATCAACATCACATTCAATGCCTAGCAAATTAAAACTTGTACTTCCCCACAAAAGATTGTGCTCTGTTGTATATTTATTATAACTATATTTTTCACTGCCTATCCAAATTACCAGGGTCTTGGTGAAATTCATTTTAAGACCTGAAATTCTGGCATAATAGTTAACTTGTTGCAGCGTTTGTTACGGCACGATTTCTCACCCCGACACTATTTCTCAAATCGTGCAAAAATTGCTACGTTCGCAACACGATTTCTCACCCGGGTGAGAAATCGTGTTAGGAGTAGGCATATTATCCGGTATCATGATTTTTGGCGATTGTGGTTTATTTAGGCTTTTTATAAATGGAATATTTCCAGCTGTGTTAAAATTACACAGGAGCCTGCCCCCTAATAAATTTTGTTTCAGAAGTGCTACGAGACTTTTTTCAATCCCTTATACATCCGATGTTATTCCTTTGAATCACTTTTCTAATTATTTAGATGATTAATTAACCTTATTACAGCATGGGGGTCGAAAAATGGAATATCAGTTTGAAAGTATTTTTTCTGAAAAAGAATCGTATTTTTGCATCGTATTTTTTGGGAAAGGACATTTACGCTCATGTAGTGCTGTATTATTATATTTGTCATCCAGAATGTGAGTTAAATTGAAGATTTTTCATTCTTATAATTCTTGTATACCAAAACCTTTCATAGAATGAAGAAGTGGTGTTATTTCAAATATGTTTGCAAACTTTCAGTCCAAACAATGTGGTGGTAAGTATTCATTTCGCACAACAAAGTAGCCAGTGTGCCTAAAAAAGTGAGGGCCTAAGACACTCTCTGGCGTCCACTTAAAAGCAATGCACCTGATTTCAGGTAATTGGTTACGAAATTCGTTGCAATCCTACAATAAATCTCTCAGTGCATGTTAAGTCACAAACAATTTCAAATTCCAATTTATTTCAACACGTGATTGATAAATATTTTGTTAACAATCAATTTTGAGATCAATTGTAATTTTCTAGTCCCTTTTTAGAATTTATTCTTATATATTATGTTATAATTTTTTATACATTTTATCATCAGACTTTCATACTCAGTTGTTAATATTCATCTCATAATGAAGAGTAAATGTATTGGTGAAGGTCGCCATCCTATCTCGTAAATGTAAAGGTACACGAAATGTATAAACAAAAAAAAATCTATAATGGATTTTGGATATACTGATTTAAAGAGACTAAAGAGAATTTGAAACAACGTTTTGAAGATGAAACCACTAGTAGTTTTTTCCCCTTAACAATCAAGGACCTGTTTTTCGAATCCTGTTCATACATAAAATGTTGTCTTTGTTTTAACAATATGAATTTATTTCATCTTATTGGCAATGACCTAAACCCTGGTACACAGGTTATCCTATAAGGAAGAGAGTCTTTGAACTCTCAATCATGAAGGTGGCCATCTGAAATAATCGGTGAACTTTTAGAAGTGCCGTACATCTTGTCAAAGAATTAATCAGCCTTCATTCTCAATTTTTGTCTTTTGGATGACCCTGGCTTCAAAGCTAGAACAGGTTGGTCAAAGAACAGTTTCTCAAAATCCATATGTAATTTTCCCCATTTCTTTCTTTTTCGGTACATGTATATACCAAAACTGCACAAAATGCTCTTTTACTGTGTTGGGTTTAGATAAAAACTGATATCTCTTGTAATTAAGTGTTCCGCTCTTGGCATTTCTCTGCCTAGTATTCCAAAAACCTTTCAGTCTGTAGTACAAGCATTGAATAAATATATAGTTCCAGTGTTCCTTCGTCCTGACCATTTGAGT